CCTCCCCATAGACCTTCTACCCTCGGGGTATCCAGAACCCACATTCGGGCCTTGCTTCTCCGTGCCGCAGGGCGTGCGGCCCAGAGGCCAGCCCCCTGCCCCATCCCCCAGGGGACAGAAAGCCAGTGCCCCCACCCTGACTCCTGCCGCCACCAGTCCCACTGCCACCGCCGGGAGCCACAACCCCTGCCTGACACAGCTGCTCACAGCAGGTGAGATGGAAGGGCCAGGAGGGAAGCGGGGACCCAGGCAAGGGTGGGGGGTGTAAAGGATGAGGGAGAAGGGACAGGCTCCGTGAGGGGGACAGAGTGGGAGGAATTAGGGACATGGGCCTGCACCTGAAAGCCCAGAGTGGGCTTTGGGAGGGGCAGAATGGAGTTAGGAGATGATGGGGGGGCGGCCCCAGCTGCCCTCACGGTTCTGCCTGTGCACAGCCAAGCCTGAGCAAGCCCTGGACTCGCCACTTGTGTCCGGTGCCCTCCTCCAGCCCCCGGGATCCCCGGTAAGTGGCGGGCACTGGGAGGGGGGTGTGCCCGGGGCTTCACCTGACTCTCAACTCTTCTCCGCCCCAGCAGGAGACGGTCCCTGAATTCCCCTGCACCTTCCTTCCCCCAACCCCAGCCCCGACCCCTCCCCGGCCGCCTCCAGGCCCAACCACGCTGGCCACTTCCAGGCTCCTGGTTGTCCCCAAAGCGGAGCGGCTGTCACCCCCAGCACCCAGCGGTAAAAGAGGGGTTGCAGGGACTGGGGGATTGTAGGGGACGGAGGGGGGAGGAGGAAAAGCAGGGGAGGCTGTGTCTGGGGCCAGGGCGAGAGGAGCAGGGCAACGGACCCTCTCCCCTGTATCGCCCTGTCTGTGCGGCTGTCTGTCCCTGCCCCAGGCAGCGAGCGGCGGCTGTCTGGGGAGCTCACTTCCACCCCAGGCCCAGGGGCCCCGAGTGTCTGCGTCTCTCCCCCTCAACCCAGCCTAAGCCGGGGCCGTCCCGACAACAACAAGGTGGGCACGACCCCCTCCCTCCCAGATGGGTTTGCTGCCCCAGGCCCTCCTGGGCCCTTTCCTAAGCTCACCCCACCGTCTGCTCCCCAAGACGGAGAACCGGCGTATCACTCACATCTCCGCGGAACAGAAGCGGCGTTTCAACATCAAGCTGGGGTTTGACACCCTTCACGGGCTCGTGAGCACCCTCAGCGCCCAGCCCAGCCTCAAGGTGAGCCCCCAGCCCAGGCTGCTGGCACCCCAAAGCCACAGGGCCCCTTCCTGGACCCCCCACCCAAGATCAAACCCCAGGACCTTCCAGACACTGTGGCCTCCGGGGGCCGCCAGCACCTGAGCCCACACTGGGGGTGCCCGCAGGTGAGCAAAGCAACCACACTGCAGAAGACGGCCGAGTACATCGTCATGCTACAGCAGGAGCGGGCAGCCATGCAGGAGGAGGCCCAGCTGCTGCGGGACCAGATCGAGGAGCTCAACGCCGCCATTAAGTAGGCAGTGCACGGGCGGATGCTGGGGCAAGGGGGGCGTGCCGTCGGACCCCCAGCCCCTGACCCCGCCATGCCCCCAGCCTGTGCCAGCAGCAGCTGCCTGCCACAGGGGTGCCCATCACACACCAGCGATTTGACCAGATGAGAGACATGTTTGATGACTATGTCCGAACCCGGACCCTGCACAACTGGAAGTTCTGGGTGGTATCCTCACTTGGCCCAGCGGCCTGGGGGCTCTAGGGGCAGCACCAGGGCAAGCACTACAGACAGACCGCGCTCAGCTCCCCGGGCCGGGCAGGTTCAGAGCTGCTCCCAAGGGAAGGGGCTCCGGTTCTGCCTCCTGTCTCAGGCCCATGGCATCTTGCCCCGTGATGGGCTGGGTGCAGAGAGGGAAACCGAGGGAGGATCCCTGGGTAAGGAGAGCCACAGTCCTGCCTTCAGGAAGCGGCCGGGTAAGCATTACAGACAGACCAGAAGCCCCAAGGGCAGCTTGGGAAAACCTCAGCTCTGAGCGGCAGGAGGCCTCGAGAGTAAGACATGGAATCTGCTCCCTTGCTTGGCTTGGGGGTCACGCTCTGGGCGGGGCCACGACAGGAAGCCCAGGGATGGGGGACTGTCTAGCACAGAAGAAGAGCTGTGGGAGACTCAGGAGGCGGGGACTGAGCCAGAAAGGTGGGCGAACTTTGGCAGAGTGGGAGGAGGGGCTGCAGCGGGAGTCCTCAAGTGCAAGGTTAGACAGTGCCCTGGTCCTTCCTTCCCCTGGTTTGGGCCCAGCATGGAAGCTACCTGTGAGGTGGGGCACTGGCTGGCCACAGGCGTGCTCCTTGACCTGGGCCCAGTTTAGCATCCTCATCCGGCCTTTGTTCGAGTCCTTCAACGGGATGGTGTCCACAGCAAACCTACACAGCCTTCGCCAGACCTCGATGGCCTGGCTGGACCAGTACTGTTCCCTGCCTGCTCTCCGGCCAAGTGCGTGAGCCATCTGCCTGACCACCAGAGTGTCCAGGCCTTGGGGCGGGGGGGTCCGCCCTGCTCAGACCCCAGGTCCAGCCTGTCTCCAACACAGCCTAGGGTTTTGACCATCCCGCCGTGCCCCCTGGATGGTCTTCCAGCCCCCACCTGCAGGCGGAGGTCCTGGGAGGGGCCGACAGTTTTGCCAACTAGTATCCGTCCCCATCCCTTTGACTCCAGCATCTAAGGCAGGGCCTTGACCCCAGGCGACATCATTCTCTCTCTCTCCCCCCCAGCTATTCTGAACTCCCTTCGTCAACTGAGCACGTCTACCAGCATCCTGACCGACCCAAGCCGCATGCCCGAGCAGGCTACACGGGCAGTCACAGAGGGCACTCTTGGCAAGCCTTTATAGTCCTGGCCAGACCTGGCAGCTCTCACGCAGCTGCCCTGAGCTGCCTTCCCTGGGCGTGGGCTCCAGGGGTAACCTCTGGGCATGCCCCTCCTCCTGTCCCAGGCCCTGGCTGTGCCTTTCCCGGGGGGTTGCGCGGGACCCAGGTCTCATGCTTCCCACCTCCTGAGGCCAAGGAGAGCTGAGTCCCTGCCCCGTCCCACCACTGTTCTCTAGGGGCAGCGGGGTTCATACCCTGTCTTTGGACCTCTGTTTTCCAATCTGCAAAATGGGGATGGGGAGGGTTTCAAGCAGCAGGTGACCCCAGGCCTCAACAGCTGGGCTGTCGGGAGCCTACGCCAGCAACTCGAAGGAGGGAAGAGGACGATCCCATTTCCCTGTCTACCCCTCCTTCCCCCAACCCACAGGTGGGCACAGGCCTCTGTTCCCGAGCAGAGAAGCAGAAAAGGAGGTTCCTCTCTCTGCTCCTTCACTGGTGACTCAGAGGAGCCGCAGGATGGCTTCCCCTGGGCGAGGCCAGAAGATCTGATCCCGGGAGAGACCAAGGCAGGGGTGGAGAAAGTAGGCGGGCATCTTGCGTGTGTGTGGACGCGTGTGTGTGGATTTTGTAAAGAATTCTTAACCAATAAATGCAAAAACTGTCTGCCAGTTTGTTGACATGACTGTCGACGGGTCTTGCTCTGGGATGGAAAGAGAGCCTGCTGGAAGGGGAGGTGGCTTTGTGGGGGCCTGTGGGCCATGACAGGGTCTGAGTTTTTACTCTGAGCTGGAAGCCGCGGGGGGTTTTGAGCAGAGGTGAGACAAGAGCAGATGTAACTTCGTTTTTTTTGAGTCGGAGTCTCACTCTGTCACCCCAACTGGAGTGCAGTGGCCGCTCCCGGCCACCGCAGCCTCGACCTGCTG